CAAGTGTGTGCGCGTGGGGCTCTTCGGAGAAGTGGCCGACTCAGGAGGGGCCCGGAGAATCTGACCCCACTGAGTTCCCACGCGTGTCAGCTACAGGGGTGACCTTAGAACCAGCCCCCAGAATACAAATCGGCGGTTCTCACGCTTCTCTTGGGCGGGAGGGCCCTTTCTTTAAGCACACGCCCAACGTGAGGCATGGAGGAGGTCTGGCTGATGAGACTGGACTGTGAGACACCTGTCTGCCACAACGTCCATGCGCCCAGAACCCACCCCACCCCCCGTGGTCCCGCGTGGCTCTGACTCAGTCGCCCCTGGCCCTGCGGCGGTCAGGACACACGGAGGACAGTTCCCAGGACAGAGCCAGGGGGAGCAGTGGGGTGGACAGAGCACAGAGCACACGGAGCTGTGGCTGTCCCGTGCGGGCGGGCCCTTTGTCCCGAAGGACGCCCAAGGGGGACTTTAGCGTAAAGGCAAATCAGACTGCGGGAGGCGGGGCGGAAGCCACTTCCTGTGGACAGAGCTTGGGGACCACTTAAGGTGGGGTCGGGATCCGGTCTTCGCCTGACATTCCAGAACATTCCATGCATAAACATCCATGGGAACTGGACGGCCCCTCCCCAGGGCAGAAGCTGGTGTGCGCCATCTGTCCACGCTCACGCCAGTACTGGCTAGGGCTCGGTGGACCAAAATTCCTAAACCGGGGTCCTGTCCTTATTCTGACTGGTCACGTGGGAGCTGACAGGTCACTCTACCATCCGGCGCACTAATGAGATGGCGAGACCCCAAGACCTGCAGCCCCAATTCAAGTGACCCCAAGCCTTGGGCACTCGGGTGCACGCATCCCGAGGCACGTCCAGTGGGACTGCAAAGGTGTCCAGGGCCGCCCGGAGCCGTGGGCCGCGGGGACGCCCGGGCCAGCATGCGTGAGCGGCCAGCGGCTATTTTTACGCGACATGTTTGGCTATTTCAAGGTTCGGGTTCTATTTTATTTATTTATTTAACTGAAGAGGAAGTTGCACTTTCTCATGACTCATTCCTTTCAAAATGGTGGCTCAGGCATTTTTGGTGCTGAAACCATGGCGAGTCGCAGCCGGCCAAAAACGCGTCTGAAATCAAACCGGCCGCACTCAGGTTGCGTGTCACGCAGGTGTTTCAGAAGCTGCCGTATCAGAATCGGGGCTGGATGCTAAGGCTGGAAAGAACCCTGAATGTTAGTGTTTTCCTGTAAAAAATTTAACACAGAATTCTCTGTTGAAAACTATGTGTGTGCTCCCCAAAACGCAGGCCCCGCCGTGGTGAGTCGCCGTCACCCGGAGGCCTCCAGGCTCGCCTGCAATGCGCCTGTCCTGAAAGGGAGCTCACGGCTCGGCCCGTCCCCCGTGCCTCAGCTCAAGGCTGCGACTGGCCCGTGCTCGGGGACCGGGAGCGCGGCCTGTGCCGTCGGCGTGGTGGCAGCTTGCTTTACTCCCATTCGACACGGAGGTCGCTCGGATCCAGCCTCACAGCTTCCAAAGCCAGAAGGCAAAGGGACACCAGGAGGAGTGTGGCAACAATTCAGATGCGAAGCTTAGGAAACTGCTAATTCTGCGAGCAGCTGTGCACGGCGGGCCCAGACCGCGCACGTCCGGGGACAGTGGCCTACCCCCACCCCCAGCCCTTCTCCAGGACGATGTCAAGATGCCAACCAGCAGCAGGTGGGGCCCTAGGGGCCGCACCTGCTGTCCTGACCTCGCAGGGGCAGACGCTGGGCAAGGAGGCGGGGCGCCATGTGAGGAGGTGGCCTCTCGGGACTGTCCCCAACACCTGCACTGCAAGACGGGCGCATGCGGGTGGGCTGAGGGGCACAGGGAAGGGGCGAGCCGAGACGCGGCTAATCCTGACAGCAGGGAAACAACCCATTCCTCATTTATTTGCCAAAATCCCTATCTCTTGGGTTTAAATTTCTTTGTGAATCTCTTGCAAAATTCCCAGGTGAAACTTCCTGTGTGTAATTCACATGCCACTCTCTAACGTGTGGGAAATTCACTCTTTAGTTTTAAAAGCCAGTCAGTTGCTAAAAAAAAAAACAAAAGTATTTAAGTTTCGACAAATGACAGGTTATCATCTGAAGGGTAAACAAGACCTCTTCACAGACCTTTCAAACCTAAAAGGACATTCATCAGTGGGTGAAGAAGAGTAGTAAACTGGAAGCTTCTGTCAAAGTGTTTAGTGGAACTGAGCTCATGAGACAGTGTGGGAGAAAAAGGGCCAGCAAAAAAATGGTTAATGGCGGTCTTCCTAGGAGGCAGTCCAGGCCATCCACGCAGGAGGGGCGGGCGGCCCTGGGGAGCCTATAAAGCCTGCTGGCTGCGGGCACCCTGCCTTGGCTGCTAGTGACAATGACAGGGAGGTTTTCGCTTCCTCGATGGCAAGCTCACAGACGCTGAGTCGCAGACGCTGAGTCCCACCCGTATGGCCAGGCTGCCATGAGCACACTCCCTGGGGCTGGCCAAGCAGCCCGCTGAGGACAGGAGGGGTCTGCTGCGAGGTGACACCGAGTGGAAGCCGGCCGTGGCGCAGGTGAGTGTGTCCTGGGCTCTCGGTCCTGCTGTGGGTTGGTGCCGTAGTGGGCCCTCACCCGAGGGCAGCTCGCTGGGGCTCACAGCTGGGCGCGGGCGTGGGTCAGCTGCGCACCTCTGTGGCGGTGGGGTGGGGGGGTCCTGGCTTCCAGCTCCATGTGAAGACAGCCAGCTCTGCTCGGACAGTCTCGGCGAGGCCGCAGCAGTGGGGGCCAGGACGCGGGCTCTTTCCACAGCGCGGCCAAAAACACCATCGTCCAGCATTCTATTGTCCTTTGTCCAAGCAAGGGCAGGTCTCACTGAGAGACAGACGACCCCGCTCCGCCTCATGGCCCAGCCCTTAGTCACCCTCCACGCAGTCACGGCTAGACAGACGGTCCTTCATGGACACACGCCCTGGAGATATGACAAAAACGCGTGTTCTCCTAGATGGGGACATCCGAAAAAACGCCACCGAGCGGCTGAACACTCATTGGCCTTGTTGTCAGGCATTCACGGCCAGCTCTCACGAGGATGCTGCGTCAGCAGTGGGTTTGGGACTAAGTCCCCATTCCTTTCCCCGAGCCCACTGTCAGTTCTTGCCAAGGAGCAAAGACCCCGTGGGCACGGGAAGGGGTGAGGCTGCATTCCATTCCCCGCGACGGGGGGCAACAGGTGCCTCGGCTGGGTTCCACCCGCCTTCAAGCGATCCTCTGAAACGCAGTCCAAACCTTCTAGAATTTCTGCATGTAAAGAGCGAAACAGTCTGTGCAGTTTTTAACAAGACGTTAAACACTGAGGCGTTAAAGAAAATACTCCTAAAATCGAATTTACCGACCCCAGCTAAGCAAAGGGTGTTGAGCACTTTAAAATAGTAACTGGCACCAGGGCTGTGATAACCTTTTTCACTTTTCCTCTTTTTTAAAGTGGTATTTTCAAGCAACTGGCCGATAAACGCCTAATCCGGTCTTGGCGAGACTTTGAAAATGATTCCTAATGACCTTTCAGGATAAAACAAAAGCTCCCCAGGGAAAACAATTCGAACTCGTTTCAGGGCAACGAGGCGTTTGCTCCGGGTTTCTCTGGCTCTGGGCTGGATCCCTCTCTGGGGGGCCGTCCTGGGCAGGGTAGGGTGTCTTTGGTTCCAGGAGCACCCCACTCCTCGGTTGAGACCGCCCAAATACCACAGCGCTGCCCACCGACCCTGGCTGACGCCACGGGGCACTTCTGCGGAGCTCGGAGACGCAGCCCGGGGCCCCGTCTGGGCGGAGCGGACGCGCCTCACCGTAGGCGGCGGCCACACGCCTGCCCCACGCCAGCCCCGGCAGGAGCGGGCGAAGGGCGGCATCCCTGACCCACTTGCTAGGTCGCCGACTTTCCCCGTTACAATCGGCATTACGAAAACGTTAGGCTTTACAAAGATTTGTCAGAACATCTGAATAAAATTTCAATATCATTTTCGAAAGCAGTTACTATCTTTAGTCCTTTGCTTTCCAGCCCCACGCCAGCCCCACGCCAGCCCCAGCAGGAGCGGGCGAAGGGCGGCGTCCCTGACCCACTTGCTAGGTCGCCGACTTTCCCCGTTACAATCGGCATTACGAAAACGTTAGGCTTTACAAAGATTTGTCAGAACATCTGAATAAAATTTCAATATCATTTTCGAAAGCAGTTACTATCTTTAGTCCTTTGCTTTTTCCTTCCATATCATGAAAAAAGTTTCATCTTCACCATCCGAACTTAGCACTGGGATTAGCAAACAAGCTAGATTTCTTTTACCGTTTTCTTACAAGAGAAAAGATTCTGTTCCAATTCCCACAAGGTCCTGGACCCACTATCATTCAGAAAAGCCAGGTTCCCCCCTCCTTTGCGTCCAACAACTGCTGAGATCAACTCCATTTCCTCTGCTGACAAACAGTAGTTTTCCTAAGATCTCCAAGCCCAATATCCGTGTTGCCTCATAAGCCTGCTATTCGACTACTTAAAAAAAAAAAAAAGGCATCTGCAGGGTGCGAGGGGGGCTCGCTGTCCGTCTCCAGCAGCTCCGGGAGCCCGTGGGGAAGACACGGGCATTCTCTGCATCTCGCGCTTCTGTCCGAGATGCTCAGCGACCACCACGGGGCCTCGTCAGAAAGCCCTGCGGCCCTAACGTGAGGACTAACGCTGCCCCCCTGCCCCCCAGGTGCCCAGAGGGAGAAGCGGCGTGGACGCAGCGGCTGGGCCGGGCAGAGACGCACGCTGGCTGCTCTTGGCGCACACACCAGTGACCCTACCCTCAGCTCGACTGTGCCAAGCAGACCCGGACCACCAGGGCACCTACCAGTGACAGCCCTGGTTTCACATCCGTCTGGCTCACTTCCAAGAGCGGCACCCTCCTTTCTGAGGATGGGGCTGTGGCTTAAGACGGATCTCGGTGAGCCCTGCGGAGAACTCTGAGCGTCGCGCGTGGAGGGGACGTGGCTGTGACTCCGAGCGCCTGCCTCTGGCATGGAGACGAGCCTCGGCATCCACAACGGCACCCCCGTGGCGCTCCAGCTGCCGCAGGCGCTGGGCGGTGCGGCCCTGGCCAACCACACGGAGCAGCAGCACTACGCCCTCGGCCTCTTCCTGTCCTGCCTCTACACCGTCTTCCTCTTCCCCATCGGCTTCGTGGGCAACATCCTGATCCTGGTGGTGAACATCAGCTTCCGGGACAAGATGGCCATCCCCGACCTGTACTTCATCAACCTGGCGGCGGCCGACCTCATCCTGGTGGCCGACTCTCTGGTGGAGGTGTTCAACCTGCACGAGCAGTACTATGACGTCACCGCGCTCTGCACGTTCATGTCCCTCTTCCTGCAGGTCAACATGTACAGCAGCGTCTTCTTCCTCACGTGGATGAGCTTCGACCGCTACCTGGCCCTGGCCAAGGCCATGCGCTGTGGCCCGTTCCGCACGAAGCAGCACGCCCGGCTGAGCTGCGGCCTCATCTGGATGGCCTCGATCTCTGCCACCTTGGTGCCCTTCACCGCCGTGCACCTGCAGCACACCGGCGACGTCTGCTTCTGCTTCGCCGACGTCAGGGAGATCCAGTGGCTGGAGGTCACCCTGGGCTTCATCATCCCCTTCGCCATTATCGGCCTCTGCTACTCGCTCATCGTGCGGGCGCTGGTCAAGGCTCACAGGCACCGCGATCTGCGCCCCCGGAGGCAGAAGGCCCTGCGCATGATCCTGGCCGTGGTCCTGGTCTTCTTCGTCTGCTGGCTGCCCGAGAACGTCTTCATCAGCGTCCAGCTCCTGCAGCGTGCGCAGCCGGGGGCCGCGCCCTGCCAGCAGTCTTTCCGCCACGCCTACCCCCTCGTGGGCCACATCGTCAACCTCGCGGCTTTCTCCAACAGCTGCCTGAACCCCCTCATCTACAGCTTCCTCGGGGAGACCTTCAGGGACAAACTGAGGCTGTACATCGAGCAGAAAACAAACATGTCAGCTCTGAATCGTCTCTGTCATGCTGCCCTGAAGGCGGCCCTCCCAGACAGCACGGAGCAGTCGGAGGTGAGGCTCAGCCCTGCGGTGTAGACAGGCACCGCCCCGAGGGCGCCGGGGACAGAGGGCGGGGTCAGGGTGCCACCATGCCACTCCCCCCCAGGCAGGCAGCGCTGGCTCAGGCACCCTCGCTAGCCACCCAGGCCCCACGCTGCTCCCGCACAAGGCTGTGGCAGGCCCTGCTCACGAGCGCAGGCCAGGGGCTGACGGGGGGTCCTGGGTACCCGCGTGGCTCTCCCATCCTCTCTGCACGGATGGCATCTCCCAGCAGGAGACAAAGGAGGGCGCTTTGCAGGGACTGTCTTGGCTTCTAGGCGGCAAGTCTGCCACCTTGGAGGAAAACACGCTCCGCTTGGCCTGCACCGGGCGCGGCGGTCCCCTCGCGGGCTTGCACTGGGCACAGTGGTCCCCTCACGGGACTGCGGACAGAGTGCCGTGGGTTCAGGGGAGAGAGGAAGTGTGCGGAGCACCCTTCTCCTTTTGGGACAACCACCTCGCTGGCACCTGGTGAGTCACACCTGTGTCCTCAGGCCACCTGAAATGCAGAGGCTCCTCTCCAGTGACAGGCTGTGAGCAATCCGAGACGCCGACCCAGACGCTGTTTGTTTATGGCCTCTCCACGCCCACACCGGTGTGCGGTGAGGCTGGGGCACCGCGGCACGGGGGGCGGGGACAGTGTAAACAGTTCTCACTGACTGTACAGAAAGAGCTAATGATTACAGCATCGCTCAGCCTTCCTCAATGAAACACAGTCACGTGCTGGTTCTTTCCGATATTCTAAGTGGTTCCTCGGTGGGGGTCTCATTGGGGGTCTCATTGGGGGTATCAGTAGGGGTCTCAGGGCCTCAAGGGGGGACGCAGCTGATGGGGCCAGTATGTGGGGCCAGCACGTAGCCCGGCCCTGTGACACCGCCACCTCCAGGGCATCTGCAAGTTGCTGCACAGCCATCTGTCCTCCTGCAGATGGGCCCCATGCCCTCACTTTTCTAGAAGGCTCTGGTTGTCGGCAGAGCCACGGCATCTGCAGGGGCGTGAGCAGGGATGGAGCATCAGGCCGTGGGCTCCCGTCACTCTGAGGTGTGCAGAGGCCCCCCCAGGGCCCCCCTCTCATCGAGGCTCTTCCCAGGGCGGTTTCCTGACAGGGACGAGCCACTTCAGTCTGAGCAGCGCGACTGCATCCAGGAACCAGACCTCTCCCGACGCCCCCAACAGGGCCAGCGCCGTGCACGTGGGACCCACCACAGGCGGGCGTGGCGAGGGGCTTGCCAGGGGCAGACCACCCCCACACCCCCATCTGGTCCAGCTGAGGTGAGCGCAAGCAGGCGACCTGGGTGCCTGAGCCGCTCCCTAGGGAGACAGCCCTTCCCCCTGCCACTCCGAATCATCCCAAGCCACCAAGTCGATAAACGGTAGGACGGCCACATCTACACCCTTGCTTTGTTGCGGGGGGCGAGATGTCTCCCTGCGCGCCCCTTCCCCTGCTCCTTAATGGCTCTGCCGTCAGCACGCGGCCCGGTCAGAGCAGCGGGCGGCGCCCACGCACGGGCCCGCGACCCCGACGGGGTCAGCTTCCAAGGGGAGTGCTGGTGACCGGGGCCCCTTCTGACCTCGGCACTGGCAACGCCATCACGGGAGGCGGGCACAGCCTGGCGCTCCAGCATCGAGCACCTGCCTACACACAAGGGTTCAGAGACGCGGTCACCATCCTCATCCTCATCCGCGGTGACGGGGACACCACTAAGTGGGGGGAGACGGCCAGCGCATCAGAGAACAAAGCCCCGTCTCTGAGCCTTCCACCGAGCAGGTCCAGGGGGCCGTCCTGCCCCTTCGCTCAGACAGACCCTGCTGCCGTGGAGCTCAGAGCCGCTGGGGACCCCAGACGGCAGCGACACGGCAGGCACCACGCCACTGACGGGCCCTCCCCCACGGCCTCGGCAGCCCCTGTACCCAACGGGCGACCGCAGGCCCGCAGAAACCACACAGAGCTGGGTGCCGGGGGCGTCCAGAGGCCAGTCACGGTCACCGCCCGAACCTTTCCCAGGTGCCTCAGAGCGGTGGGAGGCAGGACACAAGTGCCCTCCAGGCGTCTCTGGGCAGGGAGCACGGTCAAGCACGGGGACCTCACACCTCCCAGGCAGGCCCCCATGTGACCGTTTGGGACGCTCGTGAGCCCTTTCCCGGCCTGCAGCACAGGAAGCTCCACCTGGGGGTCCGCCTGTGAGATCCCACGAGACAGACCTGTCCTCGCCCACGACACACGCTGCTTTGAGACTGAAAACGCCAGCCTTGCCCTCGTCGGCCACCCCCAGCATCCAAACCGCCTCACCACAAGGCCTCTTTTGGTTGGCACTTGCCCAAGGTACAGGTCAAACAGCGCTGGACACAGCCCCTGCCCCTGGCCTCACAGCCCATTTCCTGACCGGCAAATGCGGGGCAGAGCTGCTCCAGGGGTCCGCAGATGGGCAGCAGAAGAGCGGGGCCTCCAGGGGGGCCAGGACCAGGCAGAGGGCCTGGCTGGACACGAGGGACGCTTACCGAGCCCGGGGCTGCGCTGGGGCCTCCGCCTGTCTCTTTACCCCGAGACCCAGAGCTCCCGCCTGGCAGAGAGCCGGCCGAGGTCGCATACCCCACTGGGGCTCTGGGCACGGCGCGCCCCCCATAGAACACCTGCCTCCTGAAAAGTGCCAACTGGGAGTGGGCCAGGCCTGCATGTGACAGAGTCCACGCCAGTGACAAACACACGGAAAAGCAACGACATAAACCCAACGCAGGCACGCACGGACGAATGAGCAGGTGGGGTCTGGCCGCGGCAGATGCGGCTGCTGACCGGTGACAGGGGTGTGCCGGAGCAGAGCTGTCCTCCTCCAACTGTCCCAGGGAAGCCGGGACGGGCAGGGACCCCAAATGCAGGCTAACCCAGGGCCACCAACAAAGAATAGCACGCTGCCGAGCTTTGCGTCTCCCTTCCCCGGCCCTGCGTCACACGGGCGAGACGGACCGCACAGCACAGGGCAGCGTGGCCCTGGCCTGCCACGTGAGCCCGCCTGAGGGGCGTCCCAACGTGGACCGAGAGGAGGGCACCAGGTCCCCGCGTCTCACCTGGGAGGGCGACCTGAACCTAATCGGGGAAACGGGAAAACCCTGGAGGGGACAGGGAGCTAAGACTCAGCCAAAATGTTGCCATCCTGAAACGGAAAGGTGGGACCGCCCAGGCCAGGGAGCGCTCAGGGATGCGGCCCCGGAGGCGGGCGCAAGTGAGAGGGTGGCCTGCTGGAGAAGCCAGGCCGCAGGGGGCCACGCACAGGCCAAGTGACGGGTTCAAGTGTCAAATGAGCCAGGGCGGGAGGGCACGTCGCACGACCCGCGTCCAGAGACCGGAAGCAGATGGTGCCCGGGCCGGGGGGGCGGGGAGGGGGAGCGGGAAGGGCTGCTCGTGGGGACGGGGTCTTAGCGGGGAGGAGAGTGGGGCCAGAAAATTTAAGATAGCAGTGATGGTTACCTAAGTGTGAACATCTAAAAACCACTTAGGCACACACTTTAAAAGGACGAATTTAGGGTAAATTGTATCTCAATAAAGATACCGTTTAAAAAGAAAGCGCCCAGGACTGTGCGCAGCCCGCCTTCCCTGCCTGGATGCGAAACATCAGCTTTCAGGGAGATGCCACTGTGTGACAGGCTCGTTGTCCCCATGGAGGGAGTGGGTGGCCCGTGCCAGCGCTTCACTCGCAGCCGCGACCCACTGAAAACGAAGAGGTCTCAGCCATCTGGGGCCCCAGGAGCCACCTTCTAACAGTGACCGCAAGTCCTCTACTCAAAGTTTCCCCCTCACTTACTGCCCAGAAATTCAAGCTTTAATTTCTTTCCACGTAGGAACTAATGATCTGGGGTATCTTTTGATATGCTTTTAAATTAAAAATAGAGAACAAGAAACCTGATGGACACCACAGCCCGACGCACAGCACTCGCCCTGGGAGGCCCACACGGGCGTGCGGGCCAGCCCGCCCCGAGGGTTCCGCCAGGGCCTGAGGGGACCTGCGCGCTGGCCAGCGCCTGGCTCGGGCTGCTGTTCGCCTCGGCTGACTTTCCAGGCATCGCTGTAACGGCGCCAGTACGGAAAGGAAGTGGACACGCCGTCACCTCGCTTACTGTGTCCTGTGCCGGGGCACCTTCACCGGGCGTCTGCTCAGGACTCCGGAAGGAGAGCCTGTCCTGCCTGGGCTAGATGAAGCGCTGGACCCGGAGACGGGGCGCCCGTTGACGCGAGCAGCAGGTGCACAGACGGCCGGGCCCCCGCTCAGGTCACTGAGATGTCGGCACAGCAGGGCTTTCCCACTGCCCGCTCCCGTCCACGGCCACTGAGAAAGTCTGGGGACAAAAAGCATTCACTTCTTGAACTAAATGATGGACTGAGAAAAACTCGCTGAGCATCTTCCGGAGGCCACCCCAGGGCCCATGTAGCAGCTCACTGCCTCCTGGAGCTGAGGTGGGCGGGGGAGGGGGGGTCATGGCGGGTCATGGGCGGCAGGGGGAAGGGAGGAGGGGGGAGCTGCGTCCCTGCTGTCGTGCACCCTCAGCCTCCCGTTCGAAGACATTTTGAGTGCCCTGATGCATCCCGCCACAGGCACAGCCCACAACCCCTGGAAAGACAGTCAGCAAGCCCACAGGCTGGGGAGGGCCCCGGACAAGGCAGGAGGCCTGTCCATCGGAGCAGGGCGGGCCCTTAGACGACTAGGTGTGGCCCCGCTGCTGCTCCAGGAGCACCAGACAGACACATGGCCTGCGTCCAGGAACACGAGGCCTGGGAGCGCCCCATAAAAGGCTGGGGCATCCCACAGCGGTGCCTGAGTCTACACACAAACACTCGGGCAGGCGGGTGAGTGTGCACGGGCTGCAGCCTTAGCCGTCACACACCCAGGAAAGTACCAGCCGCTGTGTTGATCTGATTTTGCCACCGTCCAGTGGGTGGGGCATCTGGCCTGGGAACAAGGATTTAAAAGCCAAAGGAACGCAAGCCAGCAGAGTGTCAGGCCCCACTGCAGCGCCAGCCACATCGTGGGAGGTCAGCTGTGGGAGGGCTGGGGAGGCCCTGGCACCCCACCTCCCAAGGGCGCGGGTCCTGCAGAGCCGGAATGCCCCCACATGGAAGGATTCCCGCACCAAGTCTCCTTCCTTCCCGCCTCCACCCGCCCAGCCTGGACAGCTGCTCCCGAGCTCGCCCACCGCCCGCTTCCTGGTCCACCCCCAGCGGCCGCCTGTCCCGCCTGTCTGTCTCCGTCCCCGCGGCACCTCCAACAGGGCACTGCGTGGGCCCCAAACCTCAGCCTCACCCCGGAATACAGGTGAGTCCCATAGGAAGTCACGATAAACTGCTTCAACAAACTATCTTACTTAAGATAGCGCCCATCAGTCTTAAGACGCAGCCCTGCTCAGAACAGTCCGTGTTTAGCAACAACACGGCGCTTGCCTTTGCTCACTCAAAAATGCAACTCTCCCAGGAAGGAAGAGAGCGCCCGCGGGCCCCTGACTCAGGCCATTAGTTTCATCTTCGTTCTCCCAAGAAACATCGGCCGGTGCCCGGCTGAGCCGGTCTCTCCGCACAGCAAAACGCAGAAAGAAGGTCCTTGTCCTCAAAGCCACGGGGCAGAGCTCTCCCCCAGAGTGACTACTGTTGTAGTGACTACGTGCTGTCCCCGTGCGGGAAGACCTGGCCTCAGGACGATCCCCCAAATCCATAGGAAGTCGCTGAGGTCACTTCCAACCCCAATCAGCCCACCCTGACAGCAGCGGAAACTATGTCAGGGGTTCCGACGTCAAATTCCACACCGTAAAAGCATGGAAAACCGCAAAGGACGGGGAGCTCCCAGACTATTTCTAGGAGAAAACTCGAAATAGGGGAGGTAAGTGACTGAGTGCCAGTGCCACCAGCGTCCACGCTGCGCTCCCCTCAGTGAGCGAGAACCCAGAAGAGCTGCTCTCTGGGGCTGCACCCAATGTACAGCCAACCCGAGCCTCCATATCAACTTTACCCCGGCCCCCACGTGCACGGGTGCATATGCACACACGTGTGCACACATGTATTTACAGCAGACTAGAGCACAGACGCCCTTGGTGCTAAGGCACAAAAGGCTGCCTGGTGACAGGGAAGCAGAGACACAGTCTGTGGGTGTGGAGCAACCAGGAGCTTGGGACAAGGCCTGAGGCACTGGTGGCACCCACTGGAGGCACCCCACTGGTGGCACCCGACACCTGGCAAGAGCCAATATGGGCTTCCTGCAGGGGACACCGCCATCCCAGGCCTTGGAAACGCCCTAAGTAATTCTCTAGCAGTGACCAGGTCAGAGTCAAAGATAGCCTGGTACACAGTGACAGAAGCAGCTGCATAAACTAAACGGCAGACACAGCAGACGCAGAATCAAACTCACAGACTCCACGCTGGAACGTAAAACGCAGATCTTCAAACAACCATGCTCATCGTGTTTAAAGGAACAGATGTCAAAGCCGAAAGTATCTGCACGCAACATGAAAGTATAAAAGGGAACTTAAATACACCAAGTCCTCACAAAGCACAAACTTTACAACACAACCCACGTGACAGATACTTTGAACAGCATTATAATGATTGAGGAAATCGAATTCATAATTTAAAAATTCCTGAAAAATAAGTCTCCAGGCCCAGATGGTTTCACTGGCAAATTCTACCAAACATTTAAAGAATAATTAACAGTAAATAATGTGATTTGAAACCAGAGGCCGTACAAGAAAGAGAGAGCTACGGGCCAGTCCCCCTCGTGAATCGAGATGCAAAAATTCTCAAGGAAACATCGGCAAGTGGGGTGCAGCTCAGATAAAAGCTATCGCACACCGTGACCACACGGGGCCCAGTCCAGGCACGAGGCTGGCTCAGGCGGCACGTGTGGATCAGGGTGATGCGCCGCAGTGGATAAGCTAAGGAAAATTCCCACGATCAGAACAACGGATGTGGAAAAAGCACCTGACAGAACATCTCGCGATGTGAGTCCCAGGGACCCGGGCCAGGGTCTCCTGGGCCCGTGCGTGGAAGGAGACAGAGGCGCCGGAGAGGTGAGTGAGAAAGAAGTCTGCGTCTGAACCGTGATGACCACACGAAGGCAGGAGGCAGCCGGGAGCTCTGGGCAGGACAGGACGTGACTCTGCGACTCTGTCCCCCAGCGCTGACTGCCCACGGCGCGGGGGCGGAAGCAGAGACCGGGGGAGGCTGCGTGGGGGATCAGGTGAGGGGCTGGCCCAGAGTGGGCGTGACGGCAGGTCAGGGGGGACGGCACCAACCCGATCCCTCACGGACTGGACACAGACGCGAGAGAAAGGGAGCCAAGGGTAAACCAAGGAGAAGGGCGCACTGTGCGACCCACCTACGCGAGGCCCCGGAGGAGCCAGTCACAGAGACAGGACGCGGAGGGAGGGGGCCCGGGGCCCGGGGGGAGGGTGGAGTCAGTGTTTCAAGGGGACAGTCTCCATGTGGGAAGATGGAAAGTTCTGGAGATGGCCATGCTGACGGCCATATAACTGTGTGAACGCGCTTACTGCCCCTGAGCTGAACACTTACAATGGCCGACGTGGCTAATTTTATGTCTTGTGTATTTTACCACAATAAAAGAAAAAAAGTGAATACAAGGCTTTGGCCTGAGCAGCTGGAGTGACGGTGCTGCCACTGCTCCCCGGGGAGAACAGGGCCTGGGCTTTGCACAGTACGGTTCGGGGTCCACAGCCGGGCATTCCAGTGAGACGCGGGGTCTCTTATGGGTCTCAAATCTGGAGTTCAGGAGGCCATCTGCAGCTGCAACCATCAGAGGGGGCGGCAGTGGCCCTGAGGCTGGGAACGGCAGTGGGCACGGGGAGGTAGGACAGTCCGAGGGGGCGGCAGTGGGCACGGGCGGGGAGGACAGTCAGGACGAGGCCCGGCCCCGACCTGCACACACAGAAGCACCTTTGCCTTCTGTCAGGTTCACCCTGCCAAATAGGTAAACATCGAGAGCTGAAAGTGTACGATGAGATGCTGCTCCAACTCACAAGATGAGTGTCCTTTGAGAACCCTGCCAAGTCCAAGTGCCCCCAGGCAGGCACTCTCAGATGGCCCTGTGGGGACGGCAGTGTGGGAGCTGGGGCGGTGCAGACAGCGAGGAGGGACAGGCCCTGTCAGGCTCCCTGTCCTGCAGGACAGGCTGCAGAGACACTCGATTCAGAGGCGCGGCGTCTCTGGCCTCCTGCCTTGTCACACTCCCTGTTCAGACATGCTGGCGGCAACCCATCACGGGGGAGAACGGGACACATGCATCTGGCGGATCATGTGTCCGGCACCAGCAGACCCCCGGGACACGGCACTGTTTAGCAAAACCTGCTTCTTGCCCTGGCCAGGGCTGGCCCGCGGGACACAGGTGCCGGCAGGGCCCCGGCACAGCGAGACGCAGCTGGGGCTGGAGGTCGGGAGCCACACCCACGGAGACAGGCAGAGCCCGACTCCCGCCTGGGGACAGCGCCGAGGGCCAGGCTGCTCCGGGAGGGTGGGAACACATGTGCGCATGCGTGCAGACGCACCAACACACACACAGGTGCACAGACGAGCAGACACGCATGCGCACACCCACACGTGCTCACCCACACGCCCCGCGTGTCATCCACATCTCGACTGGCCTGGGGTCCCCTGAGCCTGCCCTCAGGGAGTCCTCAGCCCACTCAGTCTGGCGAGGTGGACAGACATCTCCACAGAGAAGGTGACAACACTCTGCTGCTGGCAGGGGCACTCAAGTGGCTGTCAAAATAAGACGTTCCAGAAGCAGAACCATGTCGCAGCGCAGCCGGCACGTCCCCGGCTCTCTGTGCTCACGACTGACCGGAAGTCAGTCGTTTGGGGCAATGACAACATTTCGGCCTGTGTGGCAAAAATGAGCGTCCACACTGGGCCGGGCGCAGGCGCCACCCTCTGCTTGAAGGGTCCTTCAGGTGGGGGGCTGGAAGGGAAGCCGCTGCCCGGGAAACCACCCGAGCCTGCTGGCAGACGACAGGGCTCACTCACTCCGCCCAGCTACGGAAACCCCAGCTGTCAGGTGATACCCGTCGTCCCCAGAATGACATCTTAGCACACAAAATTTGGTCACCTCGGAAGGTCTGGGGCTGAGCAGGCCGTCGCCGCACAAACCGGAGCGGGGTGCAGCGCAGGCACCTGCCGATGGGATGACGACGGAGCTCGGCCCGGCGTGCGCCTCAGGCTGCATCTCACTCGCTGGGAGACCAGGCGCGACGCACGAGGCTGAGCCTCATGTCCCTTCCTGGCACCTGAGACGGGGCCGTGATCACCTGCACTTCACGGCTGTGATGCTGGAGCACAGAGGTGTCCCCCGCCTCGGGCCGCAGAGCTAGTAAGGGGGCGCAGGTGGCTTCCGGGAGGTTTTGGCTCCACACTCAGAATGCTGAGTCGCCCGCTTCCTAATGTGTCACTGCAGACAAAGACTAACTCAGCAGACCGCTCAGGCTCCGCGCGCACGGACGCCGTCCTCCCCGGAGCACGCGGACGTGTCTGACTCGTTCCAATAGCCACAGAAGGAACACAGCCGTCATTCACCGAACTGCTGCTCGTGGCAGGCACATCACCTACTTTAAAACACCCCTTGTGGTACCCCATGGCCGCCCTATGTGTTGAGTCTCAGAGAGGAGTGTGGTGCCAAGGTCACAGCCGCCTGGTCACCCTGTCCGAGCCCAGTCTACCCGACCCACGCCAGCGAAGCTCACCAAGCCCTCAGCCCTTCTCTGAGCTGGATGGCGAGGCAACTGAGCTCACGACAAAGACAGCCCAGCGCTTGTCCTCTTCCTGCCCTCCAGAACAGGGCCCGTTTCCATCAGGCTCTTGGTGGCCCGGCGGGGATACCGTAGTGTCCCCACGCCTCACTGGGGACACTGAGGCAGGCCAGCAGGGTGTGAGTGGAGGCGTGTCTGCACCTTCCAGCCTCCCCCTTCAGGATGAAGGCACGTGGGCCACTGGTCTGTCCCTGCCACAGAACGCAAGTGCGCAGGGGGGCGGGCGCCCTTTGACCTTACAGCCAGGGGCCAGCACCCGGGGGTGGGGTGGCACCCAGGGGCAGGGGGCGGCAAGCTGTGAGAAGCCCGGGTCTCCACACAGCCCACAAAACAGCCACCCGGCGGGCCCTCCGCTCAGGACCATGAAGCACATCTCTGTCTGTCTGCGGCGCTGGGCTTGGGGGCTCGGCTGCGGTGCCCCCGCCTCACACATGCCTCACACGAGCCTCACACGCGCCGTACACCTGGGTCTCAGGGCCTGCTTCCTGGCTCCCTCCCAGGCACTCGCCGAGGACACGCTGCGCATGGGGCCCGTGCCCGGCCTCTGCCAGGCTCCTGGTCCCTGCTGATGTCCTGCAGTCACACACTGCGGTCCCCGCCCCTGAACCCAGTGGGGCCCTGCACAGCGACCTCGCACTCCACGAGGGTGGCCCAGGGGGTCGGCATGCCCGGTTTCAGATGGCCGCTGAGTCCTGAAGAACGCACAGGACTGGGAGCCAAACAGAGGTGCAGACAGCACCGTTCAGGCCAAACCTGAGGGTCCATGGTGGGCCAGGCCCCAGCGTCCACTTTTACGCTTAGCCTTCACGGGCCACCGCCTCTGCACCATGTGCCGCGGCGGCACCGTCACAGCTGCACCCAAATGCTCTCCAGGCTCACAACTCCACGGTCTTGTGCCGCAGAAACTGGCCCGGCAGGTCCCACCAGACGCTGTTTATGCGCCGAACAGCGGGGGGCCTGAGCCTGTGCCTGGGAAAGTGCCCTCAAAGCAGAAGCTGTTTTCCCAGCTGTGCGGCCCGGCCTGGGAAATCTTGCGGCTACAAAAGAGTCTTGGAAAGACTGCACAAATACTCGGCCTCGTCTGCCCATCGTGGTATTTCAGACCCCGAACTGGAGAACTTCGAGCAGCCAGGAAGTGGGGATCATCTCAGCCGGAGAAAGGGTGAGACAGGAAGCGCTTGGCCCTGCCGTGTGCGTTTTATTAATGAGCA